TATTATTATTATTATTATTATTATTATTATTATTATTATTATTATTACCCTTTTGTTTGCCATTTCATTTTAACTTGTAAAAAAAAAAAAAAAAATCTTCATGCCTCTTTGATTGTCTATTGTTGTCGTTATCATCATTCTTTCTTAAAAAATAAAAAATAACCAGGTGTCTCTTGTAAATGAGTCCCCGAGGCTCAATGGGATTAACCTGTTTAAATAAAGGTCGAATGAAAAAAAAAAATTATTATTGTTATTATTAACCACCAAACGATCAGAATCAAAATAACATTATTAATCCAAAAGGGAAAAGAAACAGGACAGGTCAAAGTGCAGAATAATTAACAATTAATTATTAATAATATTAATAAAATTTTACCTGTTGATTTGTTAGTAAACAACTTTTGTCAGCAGATGAACGGAGACGCTGCAGGATTCAGAGTCTTTAATTCTTTTAAAGGTGTGTTCTCTTGATGAAAACATGCAAACTCCTGGGGTTTGTTGTCAATTTTATTCTGGAAATCAGGAATATTTTTTAAGGTTTATATTTTTCTTTTGCGTATGTTTTTTATTTTTTATTTTTTTTATTTTTGCCTCTTGTTTTTAACCTGAATAAATCTGTAGTTTCTGGACAAATAAAGAAATAGAATAAATGTTTTGAAAGTAAAGGCAGAAAACACGTCTACCTAATTATTATCATCATTATTATTATTATTATTATTATTATTATTGTTAGAATAAAATAATTTTAATACAGTTAGAATTTTTTCACTATTTATTTATGTGTTTATTTAGTTATTTGCTTATTTTTTAAAATTTTTTGCACTTGAATTGTTTAACAAATATTTGTGGTCAGCGCACGCATAAAATAAACTTGAAAACTATATTGTGTTAAATATATTTAATTTTTAATTAGTCTTTGTACTTGAGTCAGGAATCTTTTGACATTTATAGATGAATCTTAATCAAATGAAACATTTTAAATGCATAAATAAATGAATCCTAATGTTCTCCATCCAGAGGTGCTGAGTAAAACATCTGCTCAGTGAGAAAAGCATCAGATTGTAGTTGTGATCCATTAACAGTCTCATCTTGTCAGGCCATCTCTGAACTCACCTCTCTGACTTCCTGTTTGCCTTCAGTCCTTCTGAGCAGATGAAATTCTCACACTTGAATCCCGTCTTTGACATTTGTTCTGAGAAAAGAGCTGAATGTTTCTGCTGCATTGTTTGGGTCAGGGTGTGTTGGACTGTGGCACCACAAGCAGGAAAACACACAAACCACACACACATCTGGACATTCTCACACACCCAGACAGAAAACTGCTCGTTCCCTTCAAGGCCAAGTGGTTCATCACAAGCTTCCTCCGCAGACTTCTTTCTCTTTGTGCATTTTTTTTTTTTTTTCTACCGTGTTGTTTTTGCCCAGAAGCAGCCGGACTGGTCCAGGTCCTGCAGAACAGTCTGCAGCTCAAACTTCAGGTGAGTCTCAGACAGAGGAAGAGCTGCAGCTGCAAGGAGCTGAAAGTAGCAGGACAAAAGGAAACAGATGCATTTATTGCTGTTTTTTTTATTGTTATTTCGTCAAGAGTCACAAAATGAATATAAATGAATCAAACTTTTATTATCAGATAAGGCTTTCTGATTGTCTCAATAATCTGGCATAAATCTTAATTAATAAAGAGTTGTTTATAATTTTAAACTTTAAATCATAAAATCTGAACATGTTTTTTAAATTCTGATTGTCAAGTGATTATAATTTTTCTTGACTTTATTTTTTTTACCATGTAAAGATTTCATAACACACTTTGTCCATGCATTATTGAATGAAGCTGCTTTCTCTAATTAATCCATTGCAATAAAAAAGAGGAAGCATTTTGGGCTGTAACAGATTATCATCATTTTAAAAAGAGTTTAAACCATTACCACCAAAAGGATCACAAAAGTCACTTTTTGCAATTAAATGAGCTATTTTTTTCTCAAAAAGAAAACAAAAAACAAAATACAAACCAAACCCTTTTCCTCACCTGATGGGACTTTTTGGCACCAATTTTTCAAACTTTTGATTAAAACAATAAAAGAGTAAAAATATACAATACCTTTTGTTTCTTTTCTTTTCTTCTATAACAGTATAATACTAAAATGTACAATGCTTTAAACATGTAAAACGAGAAAAAGCAGCAAATTCAACATATATAAGGCTCGATTAGTCAATACAAATTGATTTTTGCTGTCAACAACAAACATGTCACATATTTATAATTTTTTTATTATTATACTTTAAGTGCAAAAAAATGAACAAAACATCTTGATTTAAAGTGATCTGTGTGTTTTATTATTCCTGCTCTTTGTCAAATAAATTAAAAAGACACAACTGCAGTCAGACTGTTTAATTTCATTTTTATTTAGCATATTTTCCATTTAAATCTTATTCATCAGCTGATATTACAAGTTACACAGTTTTGTTTTTGGCTTATGTCTACGTCAGCATTTTGAACATGTTTTCCATTCAACCTTTATTTATACAGGTTAGTCTCATTGCGTCACGAGGACTCATTTTCAAGAGAGACCTGTTCTAAAGTACTGACAACAATAAACAACAATAAAAAGCAATTGTAATAAAAAAAGTAGTGTTATAATAACAATCAATTCAAAGTTCCATGTCAATACTAAAAACAAGAACAGAATTTGAGTACATATTTGTATATTTCCAACTAATGGCAACTGTTTATCATTTATTTATTTACTTGTTTATTTATTTATTTATTTATTTATTGGGTGAACTTGCACCAAATAACCCCACACTCCCAGTGTAAACAGAAAACCTGACTTGTGTTTTTTTCCTCATCAGTCTTTAGGCTGTTTGTCTTTTTTCATGCATTCTGGCGCCCTCTGCTGGTGAAATAGAGTAACTGCTGCTGGACCAAAAAGAACAAGGTCCTGTTGAAAGATGAGAAGTTCACTTTCTAACAGCCATGCCTGGAAAGTGTATATTCTCCTTCTTTATTCTCACTGACATGAAGCTTTTAAGTCCAGTGTAACACCGAGGCGAGGTTTCCAGTACATTTCCAGTAAAGAAATAAACTTAAACGGCAAATTAAAGGCATTAGAGGTCACTTCATCTGCCTCCACCTTCCTGACTCCTGTCTTCTTTTATCATCAGTTTTTATGCAGCAGCACACCATTTATAATGGTAACGACTTTGTTCCTCTTTTTTTGCAGTAGGTATTTATTAGAATACTTTATTTAATTACTTATTCAGAAAGCTGGCACACCACACATCATTGCTGCCAAAATGTGTTCAGATGTAGCAAAGCTAGAGAGACAGAGAGAGCCCCGCCAAGAGCCATTTGCTGTAAACGCTCCCAAATGCCCTCTAGACTTCTCATCAAACGTCAGATCCACCGTGATCGAGTCCTTAATCAGCTTCAGAGTTGGAAAGTGGAAGGAAAGAGAAGGGATTAGATGGGGCGGGGTGCAGGGTGTGTGTGTGTGTGTGTGTGTGTGTGGGGGGGGGGTTACCCCCAACTTTAAGTATGCTTTTAGTCAGCTGAACCCTTTTTCCCAAAGAAAAATTATCCTTGCATGAAATGGAGCTTTAAATGGGACTGAACACTTAATGCAGCAAATGGAACCAAAACCAAGAAGTTTCCCTCTCTGCAGACAACAAGACTGCATGCACAAGAGCTGAAGTTTCTTTTTTATATATATTTCTTTGGGGGGGGGTCTGCTGTTACAGTCCAATTAATGAGTGTGGATAGCACAGACAAGATTTATAGTCTATTTTAAGCTCTGCCATCCTGACAAACGAGCTCCCATCAGCCCCTGGCATGCCACAGATAAGGCATGCAGCTCAAGCGCATCATGAAAGGCTTCTGGGCTGGGGGGGGGGGGGGGGGGGGGGATTCTGTGCCCATTTGAGGCCCTTTTCTGCTCCACTCACGCCTAAATAAAGACGTCCTTCAAAGCCTCTCAGTGGTTTCACGTCACAGGCAAAATGGCACTTTTGAGCAAACGGGCAGCAAACGTTATGAATACTTCAAGGACCATTTAGAAATCCTTC